TTTCCATATGTCTGAAGAAACTTGGATGAGCGCCAGGAGAAATATCGGGTTCTCTCCGGACTCGTCCTGTCTCCCTGCCAGTGCTGTTGCCCGCTCTGTAGCTTTTCGGCTCAGGGCGCAAACCTCGCCATACATCAGCACACTCCACTGTAGTTGGGTGCGAACTGTGGAAGAGGCGGTGCACGCCCACCACGGATTGCCAGCACCCACCCGTTCACGGGGATACGCACCGAGTTTCAGACTGCGCGCGGTTCAACAGTCCAAGCCTCAGCGGACAGCAGCGTTGAGGAACAAGGTCAGCGGCTGGTGGACACGTTTGTCAGCGGTGGTCACCAGCTATCAGCAGCATAAGCGGCGTGGCAACGGGAGTAGACAGCTGGAGATTCTACGACAGGCCGTTCGTGACCTACTCGCCCGAGCCCCTGCAGACTGCCATGCGCTACTGCGACCACGTGATCATTTCAAGGGGAGTGAGTGGAAGGTTTTTTTTGGTTTCGCTGGATGTGCATTCCGCTTTGGCACTCGCCGCTGCAGTCGGATTTGCGAATCTCAGTGCTAAACGCAGTCAGCATCGTGCTATCAATGCATCCTTGGCGCAATTTTCGGGAGCGTGGCGAGACGGCCCCAGCTGTCAAAGCTCTGCATCGCAGCATTCGCCAGACGCCGTTGGGGCCCGAAGAGTTCGAGGATAACCAGCGTACCATTGCTCATCCCAGCGAGATTCTTGCGAAGAAGACTGAACAGCGGGAGGTACTTTGGGGTCCTGAAGGCCAGGGCTTAGACAAACTGGACAAGTTTTTCGCAGATATTCGTGAACGCATCCAAAGTGATCCGCTTCCAGCGTTGGAGATCGAGGATATACGGTCAGCTCTGCGACGTATGAAAGCATCTTCAGCCATGGGAGTGGACCGTTTATGTAGCATCGACGTGGGTAGATTTTCCAGATGTGGCGATAGCAGAGTTCGCTTCTCTGTTAGCCCTTAGCGAATGGTATCAAGCCTGGCCACGCCAAGTTCTGCTAACCATAGGCACGCTGCTCCCAAAAAAGAGCAGCGGCGATCGGGTCATAGGTCTACTCCCCTTTTTCACCCGTGCCTGGTCTCAGGCACGAGAGGATCAAGTGAAGTTGTGGCACGATCAATGCGAAGCTCACTGGGGCGCTGCCATCCGTGAGAATGCGGCTGCGAGAGAGGTTTTCCTCAAAGCCGTCGGCGAGGAACTTGCAGCACGTCTGGGCGCAGAGCACGGACATGGACTTGTTGAGGTGGCGTCTTTTTACGATAGTGTTGGATGGTTCGCCATCGGCAGTGCAGCATTGCGTTTAGACTTTCCACCTGAAGTTTTGGGTTTAGGGCTCCAACAATGCATGGCTGCCCAGTGCGTTCGACAGGATGGCGCCTACGGGTCTGGGGGCAGGGACCAGGTTTGGGAAATGCGCTGCACAATTTACCATGTATAAAATTACCACGGCACACGTTAATATGAGTCATCGTCTGTGGGTGGACGATCTCAGCCAATCATGTAAAGGTTCGCGCATCGGCATGAGGCAGCAGCAAATATCGTGTCTTCTTACCACGTGCCGTACTTTCGTCGAAGCTGGGCTGAGGATCTCACCCAAGAGTGTAGTCGTGTGTAGCAACGTACAGGATGCTCGTACAGTTAGTTGTACGTCGGCTAAAGAGTTACGGATTCACGATGAAGTTCGCACCGCAGACAGCTTATCTTGGAGGGGATGTTTCAGGTGGACGATGGCACGGCAGAGCTACACGCGCCAGTCGGGCACAGAAACACCGCCAGATGTCTCGTAAGATCAATGCGTTTGCGAGGACCATTCGGAAGCACAAGTGAACATCGCGCCTCGAGTTGCAGGGGGCACAGCCAGCTGGACTTTATGCTCACCAGCTCCATGGAGTTTGGGGTGGGCAAATGGTTCGCGTTCGCCGTCAGCTGGCAAATGCATGTGCCCTACGCCTTACAGGACGATGCCTTACCACGGTTTTGGATTTATGCGCAGCCAATCGTGACCCCGCGTACAAGCTCCCAGTCAGCACCCTTCGTATGTGGATTGCGTCTTGGGTTTCGGAGGTCAGTATTCGGGCAGGGGCGCAGAGAGCGTGGTCCCCCATGGTGCGAGAATTTCGGGACATGCCGGTTGCTCGTCGGTGTCGGCGCACTCGTGGACCACAAGGGGCCGTGGCCAAGTATCTTTTAAACGCAGGCTGGCATCCTGACACCCCCTCGTCTTGGAGCATCCCTGATCATACTAGCAGCTGGGATTTCAAACTGGAAACGCGCGCTGGGCATCTGGCTGCGGACGTCCCCGAGGCCTTTTTCGCGGAGTTCCAGGACACCATTCAGAAGCAACTCTGGAGGACCGCGTCGGAGCACTTCGGAGGCTCTGGAATGCAAGATGGGATCGGCAACTATTCGTATCGGAAATTGTTAGGTCAACTCGAGCAAGCGCCAGGAGGAAGGAGGTTAGCAGGGCTTCTCTTAGCAGCAGCAGCAGCAGGGGCTTCGTGGCCTCGCCTCCGACGGCAAGCCATGTGTAAGCAGTCCATTTCTACTGAGTGCCCGCGATGCCAGAGATGTCCTGCATCGAATTTTCATCGTATCTGGGGATGCGACGGCAAGCGTGAGCACCCAATATATGAGATGAGTGATGAGTTCAGTCACCAAACGCACACATGCGGGGAGACCGAGGAGTGTTTTTTGGACACGGGGTTTGATCTCAAGCAGCTGGACAGCGACGCCTCCCCCTTGTAGCAATGAGAACTGGACCAGCACGGATAATGAGTTTGTGAGTTTCGGACGCGGGACAGCTGCCAATCCCGTTTTCATGTTCGGAGACGCCAGCGGAGGTAAGGAGACGCACCACTCCCACCTTCGCAGAGTTGGTCTCGGGCTTGCTGCGTATCACCAGTTAGACCCCTCCATGGACCTCGCGGTGGGGATTTGGGGGCCTCTCCCAGGGCCTCGTCAGACCGTCGCCATTGGGGAATTGTATTTGTTGTGGGTTGCTTTGCGTGAAAGCCAGGGATACATCGTGTATGTAGCAGATAATTCGTCAGTTGTCGGTGGCTGGCACAGCCAGCGGTGGAAGCAGCCTGTCGGCAGTGACGCTGATCTGTGGTGGCGAGTAGGGGAACTCATGCGCACCAGGTGTAGTACGTGTTGTACTGTACTTTTTGTGCACTCGCATCAGGGTGCTGAGCAGCTCCAGGCCTCTCGGTACCCCCATCCTCATCCTCGGTAACAGTGCAGCCGACAATTGTGCAGGCCTTGGAGCAGAGCAGGCCCGCCTCCCCGAGTCTGTGCGTGCGCGTATTTTCGCATGTAGAGCACAAAGCACTTGCCGTACGCATGCGCATTCTGCAGAGTACGCTTGAAATTGTGCAAGCTGAGGAGTTGATTGCCAAGCAAAAGGGCTCCAGACGAAAGCGTCCTAGCTCTCAAATTGTGCGTCCTCCCTCAGCCAGTGTTAGCGCTTCGTTTGCTTCTCGGCACTGTCTAAGGGGCGACGGCCGTAGCTGTTCCCGCTGTTTGGGGCCGACCTCACTCGCGAAGAAAAGCGAGTGGCTGAGCTCACCGTGTTTCGATTTAATTCAAGTACAGAGTGACATTCGTCAGCCTCCTCTTGGGCGCAGGGTGCATATCTCGGGGGAGTTCGCTCACGAAAGCCACACTTTGAAGTTTTACTCGGGGCTGGGTCTCTGGTCTTGTTCGTCCTGCGGAGCTTTTGCCGCCGAGCAATTGGTTTCCCTGGGCAAAGTGTGTGACCCGAATCTTGGTTGAACCCGTACTCGGAGGGAGTACCTTGATCGTATTAACAGGGGCGTCTGGCCGAAGGTCTACAGCAAGACCGAACTGACCAAGCGAGCCCCCAAGCAACCAAGATGAGTTGCTCATAATCGTAACCGACATGGTCGCCAGACCCGTAACTCCGTAACTCCTCCTCCTCCTCCTCTTCCTCCTCCTCCTCCTCCTCCTCCTCCTCCTCCTCCTCCTCCTCCCCCCCTCCCTCTCCGCCTCCTCCGCCTCCTCCTCCTCTTCCTCCTCCTTTTCCTCCTCCTCCTCCTCCTCCTCCTCCACCTCCACCTCCACCTCCACCTCCTCCTTTTTTCCTCCCCCTCCTCCTCCTCCTCCTCCTCCTCCTCCTCCTCCTCCTCCTCGTCCTCCTCTCAAGCACCAGCAGTCCAAGGCGGGCCTCAGCCATTTCTTCTGGCCCCAACCAGCCTTCCAATCGCGCCCTGCACCTTCGCGTCGGCGCTCTGGGAACGTCGAGGCGACCACGATTCTCGGGTGGCGAGGCCCACTTGTTTGCAGGAGGTGCCAGGACTCGTTCGACAGATCACGTTTCACGGAAACAGGCGCATTATTATTTAGTTTTGCGTGGCAGAATTTGGACAGCCTCACACTTTACACGGCCTGTTCTGGTCAGGTTGAATTTTCTGGTAATCGGCAACTAACCGCTGCGCGTATTTCAAGTCCATGGTCATTCGCCTTTGGGATAAGGTTGGTCCTCGTCGATCAGTTGTGTTGGCGTGCGCAGCGCATTTGAAGTTTCGTTTTGTAGTGTACGTGGGAGTATGGTGCGTTCCCGTACTTGGAAGTGGACTTCGTGGGCAGTTGTCATCATCCACGAGTTCGGGATGCGTACTGTAGGCGTTCGTGCTGGCAGTCCCACCGTGGAGGGCACTTTCGTGGCGCACGCGGAATTATCCCCTGCCTCGTCGTGGTCTCCCGGTCGGCAGTCTTTATACAGGCGCAGCATACACGCAGCACGTGGAGTATGCCAAGGTCAGCCAACCCATTCGTCCCCTCGCCGTTCGTCGTGCTCCAAGGTCGGGGCACGTGTTGTTAGATGCTTACACTTATCATTCACATTCCCATTCCCACTTTCCTCCTCCTCCTCTTCTTCCTCTTCTTCCTCCTCGTCCTCCTCCTCTCCACCACATCATCCACCCCTCGCGCCTTGGCTGGAGAGGCGAATCCGCCAGTGCGCAGCTCGCACATGGTGGGCAGGGAGATCGAGATGCTGGATTCCTACGACGATCTCAAGGTTCCGGGTGGGGGGGGGGGACAGAGGAGGGACGGAGAGGAGGAGAAGGAGTGGAATGGAATGTTCGCGACGCGAATCTCGATGAAAGTTGCTTCCTTGAGCTTGGCATTGGCCGCGAAGACAAGGTAGAGCACCGCCGCCACGAACGGGCGCCGCCAGCCAATAAAGACCCACATCATGCCGGACAAACGTTCACCGTGTTTCATCGTTTCGTTCATTGGCTGCGTGCTGGTGTGCTCGTGCCCAGGGGGAAAGGTAGGGCAGGCAGGAATGTCCTCCAGGATGTCTTTGGAGATGTGGCTCGTGTCCTGTCGAAGAGAGCCGATCGACTGCCCCAGAAGGCGCCAAGATGGCTCAAGAAAGCTCCAGCAGAGATTCCAGGCATACCGGTGTTGTGGTTCAGAGTCCTCGTGGATGCTTCTTGGGGTCTCTTCTAAGGGCTCTCGGGATCCTTTGGGGAACAGTTTTGAGGCCTTTGGGTTCGGGGTTTCTTGAGGGCCTCTTGTGGCGCCTCCTCCCTCCTGGTCAGCCGCCAGCGCGCGCACGCTGGGCGGTACATGGAGACGGGGGCCGACGCGCGCTGCCGCGCTGGCCGCGCCAACTTGGGCGCTGCGGGCAACCCTTGAAGCCCACTGGAGCCTGGCCGACAGCATCGGCGTCCAATACCCGGCCACGGGCGCGGAGCTCATCGCCTACCCCCCCCATTCGAGTTCCCGCTGCACGTCCCGCCGTGCAGATCTCCCACACCCAAGTCCAGCAGCAAGGCCAAGAGCTTGGCATCGCTCGGACGTGTGCATTTTGTCTTCGGCGAGGACCATCGAGGAGCATCCTTGACCATTTCGCGAAAAAAACACTCACGAAACCGAACAAAAACACAGGAAATGAATGTCCGAGCGATGGCCAGAGAGAGCAAATTCACAAGAAGGCTGAAACTGAACGTGATCATGCCCATGGGTAGGAGCTCCGCGAGCCGGGGTTCCAAGGGCGCGAGCTGGCGCGAATTCCATGCGGGAGCCCGTACATTCCGCTAGGAAATCCCACGGTCCCACACCTTCGGGGGTCCCCAAACGGTGTGGTGACCTCACCGTGCGGTGACTCTTTGGAGTACGTAGTGCTGGAGAGAGCTCCAAAACGCGCTGGGCATCAGGCTACCGAGCGGGCAACAGTGAGTCAAACAAAAGGGTGCAGTATGTCCTCGCTGATGAACGATTGCTTGAGGGAGCCGCTGTAGTGAATGAGGCGTAGAGGCTCCGCCCTACCCTGCATCGGGAAGCTCGGACGCTGCCAGCAGGCTGGCCCCGCGCGTGTGGCGGGAAGCACACCCGTGGCAGGCGGACACCCCGACGGGCGTGTGCGTGGGCGGCCCCTCCCCGCGGCTTGCCGCCCGCTCTTTCTCCCCCTCCTCCTCTTGCGAGCTCCCGGAGGCAGCGCTCGGGGCACGGGGGCGCCCGCCGGCTCCGCCGAGCCCTCGCCCAGGCCTTCGGCGGCGCGCTCCTCCTCCTCCTCCTCCTCCTCCTCCTCCTCCTCCTCCTCCTCCTCCTCCTCCTCTCCTCCCTCCTCCTCCTCCCCTCCTCCTCCTCCTCCTCCTCCTCCTCCTCCTCCTCCTCCTCCTCCTCCTCCTCCTCCTCCTCCTCCCCCCCTCCTCCTCCTCCTCCTCCTCCTCCTCCTCCTCCTCCTCCTCCTCCTCCTCCGCCCTCCCCCTCCTCCCCTCCCCCCTCCCCCTCCCCCTCCACCTCCTCCTCCGCCTCCTCCTCCTCCTCCTCCTCCTTCTCCTCCTCCTCCTCCTCCTCCTCCTCCTCCCCCTCCTCCTCCTCCTCCTCCTCTTGCATGGTGGCCAATTCGCTGCAACGGTGGCCCCGTTCAGTCAGCTCCTCCGCCAGCGCAGGCGACCCCTGCCCAGCCGCCGACCAGACAAAAGAAGTGCGTGGGTGGCAGGTTGGGGCGGCGAAGCCAAGAAGGGTGCCGACGAAGGGGGGGGGCCTCCAGAGTGACAGTCGGCACGCAGATCCGCGGAGGTCTTGCCCCGCACGGCGCCCGAACAGCAACGGGGTCCTTCATGCCCAGGCCTGGCTCCAAGCGGCCCTGGCCAGCAACCATGAATGATGCCACGCGGCCACGGCATGTTCACGTAGTGTCCACAGGCGGCGACCCCGCCGCCGACGTGAGCGCCGCCAGCGACCCCAGAATCGGTCGAGGTTGAACGATCTGACGTTGCGGACAGTGCCGATCGTTGAAGATGGACGATCCCCGCTGTGTCCGGAAACAACGCCGAAGTCGGCACGACACGAGCTTGGGGCTACAGTGCCGCTTTTAATACATGCTCCGCGTGCGGATCATGCATTAAAAATGCAGGGACTTAGTATTAAAAACAACGATGAGTTCATGCACACATTTATTCATACATTAGCTTCATACACTAGCCATGTATTAAAAATCCGATGTTTTTTTAACATCCCATTTATTAAAAACTGCCCCGTACCGTGATCTGGAATCGGTGGGGCGCCCTTGTCTCCCACTGCCTCTCCTTGTCTTCCTGTCTCTATCCCTGCCCGCTCATCCCTGTTTCTCTATCCCTGCCCCCTTTTTCCTGTCCCCTCATCCCTGTCCCCTCATCCCTGTTCCCTCATCCCTGTCTCTATCCCTGTCCCCTCATCCCTGTCCCTATCCCTGTCTCTATCCCTGCCCCCTCATCCCTGTTTCTCTAGCCCTGCCCCCCTTTTCTTCAAGAGGTCTGCGCCGGTCTGCCGACCCCAGAGCAGGAGGGAGAAGGAGGAAGAGCATGAAGTGGACGACGACGACGACGACGACGACGACGACGACGACGACGACGGCGACGACGACGACGGCGACGGCGACGACGACGACGACGACGACGACGGTGGGAGTAAGATGGAGAAGGAGGATGACGACGACGGGACGGCTTTGGATGTTCTGGGGGCCATGTCGAAGCAACGCCAGGGTCTACGCGACACGAACCTGCCGTACGGTAGGTTCATGCGGCCATGGCGCGCCAGCGACGCTGGCGAAGCCGTTCAAGGTTGAACTCCGCATGCTAGAACGCCGCGGGAACACCTAGGGACACGGTAGCGCTGCAAGATCCGACGGAATGCAGCCTTGAACGATCGGGGCCGCGATCGGCTCAAGGTTGAACGATTGAGGTGGTGTCAAATACCTTTTGCGCGCGCCGACACGACACGAATTTGCCTTAGGCTCAGGTCTGGCGTGTCCTCCTACAGGCGGATAGTTATTCGAAGAAACAATTAAAACGAGTCACAAAATACAACCAATAGCCAAAAGAGCACGAAAAGAGAAGTCATCCCCAGGCTATTCTTGCTAATAATCTTGAATGCTCTTCCTGTAGAGGGACATGCCCGACTCAACCGCAGGACCAGGGTCTGTCGACCACTCAGTGGTCGACAGACCCTGGTCCTACGGTAGAGGGAGACAATTACTGAACACTCCCCCTCCCCCCAAACTCAATGTAGGCACGCGCGGGGGGGGCTGCGGTCGAAATGCATCTCATCAGACCCACCGCCAACTTTGAACAGTGGGGGGAGGGGGGAGGCGTTGACTTCGGGCGAAGAGAACTATGCACATGCACCGATCCTGACAACGTCCACCCTTGACCCAGGATCGGTGCATATACCTTCCTTGCCAAGGTAAGAGGGCGTATGCACCGATCCTGGGCTCAGGATGGGCCTGGCCAGAATCGGTGTATGTGCATAGTTCTCTTTCCTCTATGACTGATGAATTTGGCATGAGTGTTCGCCAATTTGTTCCGAGGCCCGTACGGTGGTCACCACTGCGAGCCGCGGCGTCGGCGGTTCCCCGGAGAGCGCCGGGCCCGCCGCGCAGCGCAGCCTGCCGGCAGCCGCGAGCAGTCCCCGCCTCGGCGTGGCGCTGCCGAAGAGTTTTGGAGCAGCGGATCGGCGGCGAGCCGGACGGCGCGGGTTGCGAGTTAGCCTGATGTCGGGCCTGTCCCCCTGCAGGAGGATTTCCGACGAAAAGTAGAAGATACCCCCAAAAATACCCCAAGAAGGTCAAAAAATACCCCCAAGGATAGTCCCCAGGCTATCTCTGGATTATTTTTGACTATTTTTGGGGTATCTTTCATTTTTCGTCGAAAATCGCCCCGTAGGGGGACAGGCCCGATTTATCGCGGGTTGCGAGTTAGCCCCAAGACGTATCCTCTTCCTCCCTTTCGTCGGCACGGCACGCCGGGACAATGACTGTCACGGGCAAGCAGCTCTTGGTGCTTTCTCTACCAGGCCACGGCTCTCTACGCGAGCTCCCCAACGGCAGGACGACGATGCCAAGGTGTGCGTGCAATACACGAACAGCTGGCATGCAGCCAGGCAGTCTGGCGGGCGACAACAAAGAACGGATCGGCGGCGAGCGGCGGGATAAGTGAGAAGGAACAGGCCTTCTCAGAAGGCGGCGGGACTTCTCAGAAACCCTCGCTTCTTCCGAGAAGTTTTCTGTCTTCGTGGAGGGCTCAGAAAACTGCTCAGAAGGCCGAGAGGGGGACGCTGTGCGCCTTGAGCCTTTTATGGCAACGCTGACAAAGATGTCGACTCCACCCCGTGCTCCGAAAAGCGCATATCCAGAACTTCAAAAATATGAAGTTTTACAAAACATCAACGTTGTCAACGTTGTCAACGTTGCTTTTTCCCTTTACCTGCGCGGACCCGAGGTCCCAATCGAGGCGGCCAAAAGGCGTCAACGTTGTCAACGTTGTCAACGTTGGGTATCCTCCCTCCCCCTCCCTCTGCCAGCGAGGACCCAGGGCTCCCAGTGAGACCCAGCGGTCTGACGCAAGCAAGCCTCAGTCCCTCAAAGCAGCACTTCTTGCTCTTCCCTTTACCCGCGCGGACCCGAGGTCCCAATCGAGGCGGCCCCAAGGCGTCAACGTTGTCAACGTTGTCAACGTTGGGTTTCCTCCCCCTCCCTCTGCCAGCGAGGACCCAGGGCTCCCAGTGAGACCCAGCGGTCTGACGCAA